AGCATCCAAAATATGATTTAGGATGCTAGACACACCTAAAAAAAAATAATTCATAATATTGAATGTATCACAAAATACTTTAGGGTACTGAAAATACTTATAAAAATTCTTCAGGGTGTTGGCACTACTACAAAAAAAAAAAAAAGAACTTTCTCTCTTCTCCTACTTTTGTTAGCGTTTATCCCTTTCTTCTATCATCTCTGCCATGTTCTTCCATCACCGTCGCCGTGGCGTTATATTCTTGTCCTTATTTATGAGTTTTTTACCATTTCTCCTCTATTCTTTTTGTGGGTTTCATAATTTTTATGGTTTGGTTGTTTGAAAAAGCGTGAGTAGTGTTTTCTTTGATTAAAAATATGATCTGAATTTGAATAAATCTGATTTTTGTTCCTTTCCTTGCTTAAACATACTTTGACACTTAAAAGCTTGAATAGATCTAATTTTTATTTTCCTCATTTTGTAGATCTAAGTTTGAGAGCCTGAAGTTCACAAATTTTATCATATTTTGGTCTTCGATTTTACCTTTTCAAATCTCAATGGCTTTGATCTGGCAGTTGAAGACAAAGTTAGGTGGTGCTGCTATGGCAAGGAAGGATCTACTAGTAAATTATTAGTCGATTGATTCTCAAACCCGTTCTCTTAAGGCTTTTTCCCCCCATTCCATCCTGATTAATAGGATGAGAGGGAAGCTAAAAAAAAATAAACTTTTCCTGGCAGTTTTTAAACTGTCATGAAATTCTTTATTTTTTTTACGTTAATGACATAGATGTTACTCTCAAAACTGTTATGAAAAGCTCATTTTAACCACCATAAAATATCTTTTTTGTAGTAGTATGGATACACCTTAACTCTATAATCTATTAGAAAAATTAATTGACAAACAAATTAAGGATGATATTAGTATTTGCATAAATTTGAATAGTTTCAGCAGAATTTTTATCAGCTTGATTATAAAAAGAAAAAAAAAAGTGTCTCTATACATGACTGAACATTAAAGAATGTTAAGAGTAAATTAATGTTAAATGAAAGAATTAGCATAGGGAAGCATCTGGTAAATGATAAGAAGTAGGGCCAATTATTGAAGACACTGAAAAACTAATGGGCGCGTGGACTTGACTAAAGCAAAATAAAGCAACATGGAGGGCCATAGCACAACATTCACTATGCATTCCTTTCAGAAAAGGTGCAAACTAAATATGTGTGTATGATTTTTAATTCAAAAAGGTAAATGAATCTCAATGTATGAAGCTATTACTATTTCTTTCTTTTTTAAAAAAAAAATCTATTTTGATTCTTGAAAGATTGGATAGGCTTCATTTTTTTTTTGGGGCCTAAAGTTAAATTGAAGAAAACTCTCAATCCTCTTAAAGTTTAGTAATTTCTAACTCTTTAAAACTTGACAATATCAATATGTTAAATAACCTCTTTAAATTTCGCACTATCTGAATAAATTAATCTCTTGCCCCTTACAAACCATTAATGGTAGATGCTCCATATAATGGATCATATTCTCATTACTGAGATAATTTAACGGTAGAAGGTTATTTACGCACAAATTTAAAAATTCAAAAATAACAAGTTACATATTATTCAACATGCTAACGTGTAAAGAAAAATTCAAAAGAAATTTGTATAATTGATTCGTCTTTTCTCCCATTAATTTTATTATGGTTAAAAGAAGCGGTATAAATTTTCAATTCACTAATAGACATATAAATAATCTTAACATTAATGATTAAAAACTTTAAGAGGTATAGGCATCCCTTCAATCTCTGTAGGATATATAGGTCATGCACATCTCAATTGAATCTGACTTTTCAATCCGATCATAGTTCAGATTACACTTTCTCATAACCACAGATAAACCCTTCTTTTTATTGATAACATATTTAACTATTTAATACTTTGTTTCGGTTTCTTTCATAAGTTATAATTCTCTGAATGGATTTGCTTTTAATAATTATGCTTTCTTTCATTGTTATTTTAATTAGTTATATGTCTTTCTTGTCACTTTTTTCTACTCATTCTTTCCGATCTTTCCCCCACCCATTCTCTATTCTCCACCTCCTTTCTATATTTGAAATATATATATTTCTTACATATTTATTACTTTTAACTGAATTCTTAGTCTACATAATTTAATTATTTATAACTTATAAAAGAAGATGAGAATATAACACTTTAGTAGATAAATCAATTCTGGGAAACAACTTTGGGTCAACAAAATTACCCGTCGCGTGTAGTCGGTGCAGCCCTAAATTATATTACAAACAAGGACTGGATGAGTTTATTTGAGCTTCTTCAGATCACTTTATTCAATTTTTGGGTATTAAGATTAAAGAAAGATGACCCAAGTAGTGAGTCATTCCACAATACACGTTAAAGATTTGACAAGAAGTAAGAATGCAAGAAAGTAGAAGCGAAATTGGATGGCTCTTAATCAATCTTTTGGCTGAAAATTGAAGATGCCATTCTCTCCCTTGTCACCGTTGCATGAATTTGACACTTACTAAGCTTCTCGACTAAGCTATATTTTTCTTACTTAAGAAGCTTCTTGTTATGAATATTATATGGATGTCTATTTACCCCTTTCTCTTTAGCTTCACCAAGTAACTTCTACTACTTTCACTATTAATTTCTCTTTCACTGTCCATTTAATCTTGTAATTCACCTCTATTCACATTAATGAGATTGATTATCTACTATTTATCATTTAAGAACAAATGTAATCTATGTGTGAGACTATGCCTATAAATAAGGCGTGTCATTTGTGTTGTGGAGCAAGTAAAGAAATGCAATAATTCTATCATTTTTTTGTCTCCATCTTTCTCTATTCTACTTTTATGGTTCTATTTCATAAGACTTCTCGACTAAGTTATATTTTTCTCAGCTTCATACAAGGAATCTCACATAAATGATCTTATTGTTCATTACTTGGTTATGATTAATGTGACTTATTATAAAATTTATACTGCTATTATAGATTAATGAAAAGTCATGTAATTATCCTACAATTGGTATATAGCTAGATTTCAAATTTTGTGCATTATAATGAACTTCAAAATATATATACGCACATTATCAACGATTCTTAATGTAAGATATAGATCTTTTATTGAAGACCGAAAGTAATGTATGTGTGTATCGACTTTTATTTATAAAAAAGTAATGTCTCATTTGGTAATAGATTTTCTTTTGTTTTTTTTTTTTACAATATGTCTTATGTCTTTATAATCATGAATTAAAAATTTTAATTTTTTGTTAATTTTAAAGGGGATAAATATTGTTTTTATCATCAAAGTCATCTCTTTATTTTAATTTTCTATTTTATATAATAAAGGAGCTTGCAGTACTGTACTCTTAAATTAAATTAGATATATGTTTGTGTTACACTAAAACTTTAAAAATGAATATTCATGAACGACATATTTTGAAATTTTTTAGCTTTAATTTTCTGTTATATATGGATATAAAAATATTACTCCTCCGATTCTTAATGTAAAATCTAATTAAATAATTTGAATAGATTAAGGAAGTTAGTTAAATTAATTCATATGATATGTTTTTCCTAAAACACTCTAAACATTTTTTTTAATCGCTTCCCTCTCTCTCTTACTTGATTATTATTAAAAAAATTATTAGGATTAATTTAGAAAAAATTAATCAATATGTAAAATAGGTTTTACACATAGGATCAATATTAACTCTTTAATTGGGTCGTATACTACCTGCGATCCTTAATATAAGAGCTAGCTAACTAATTTGAGCAGATTAAAAAAGTTTGTTAAGTTAATTATTTATAATAAATAGGTGTTTTGTTTCCTAAAGTACCTTTACTAATCATGTGTATTAGTTATAACTACTATTTGATGAAATCTTTAATATGTGCAACTATTACAAGAATTATTTTAGAAAATATTGATAAATATGATAGACAAAATAAATTAAAATATTATATTTAAAATGAAATTAAAAATCAAATTAGTACAAGAGATTGTATCGGGGACAGAATGAGTAGTTTCTCAGCAAACATGCCCTCGCAATGAAATGAACATGTGCATGCAAAGTGGGCCCACCATTCACTTTAAAAGTGGTCCACCAGCTCATGTGTGTGGTTCGGTGGGCCAGCCCATTCATTGCATAAGAGGAGCTGTCAGTATTGTTTTCCCTCAAATCAAATATATGGGGCTTATGAAAAATAACAAGCACACTGATATTATTATTTTATAATAGTTCTTTTCAATTATTTTATAAAATTATTGAAATCCAACCCATACAATTTATATTGTTTGTCCCAAAAAAGATCATTCATATTTTATATATCTTTTAATTTTTATTTTTAATCATCATTTATTATTTTTTATTTTATTTGAAAAAAAAGTAAAAGAAACAAGTTGAATAACATACACGCATAATGCATATAGATGATGTACATATACATATATTATATGTGTGTGTGTGTCTATCACGTTCTAAATTAAATTCAAGCCATTGAACACTTACCACAGCAGCAAAAGAACCGGTATGATGGAATTGCACAGCAAAAGTTCTGGTCAGTATTAAATATTAAATATAGATTCAAATAAGAAAGAGCTTGTAATTTATTATTAGATGCTTAATATAAAAATTACTTAATTTATTCGAGTTTTTTTGGCCTTGTTAATTCGTCTGAGTTGATTGAAGAAGCTAGCTAAATTAATTAATTAAAATAAATATATCATAATATTTTTAAAATACTCTTATATGGGAGTATATTATATATCTTTTTTTTTTTTTTTTTGGCCTGAAGTATATTATATATCAGTTACTGAGTAAATTTATTTAAATAAAAATAATAAATGTAAAAGAAAACATATCTTAAAAAGTTATATCTTGGATGCTGCGACATTATTGAACATTCTTTAATTTTCTTTGACTCAAGCACATCTTCTTTCTCCCTTCGCCTCGCCCTCCTTTCCTTGCCTTATAATTCCATTCCTACACTTTCTTTCTCTTTCCCTCTTCATCTCTTTCTCACTCACATATTTCCACACGATCCAGTTTTTCACTTCTCCCAAATTTCAGAGTTCTCTTGCTTTCTAACACTTCCTTAGGTTCAGTTCCAATCTTATACTCTTGTGCGCCCAAAAAAGCTTTATCTGTATATACCATAAAACAGAGCATCTTCGTCCTCGTCCTCGTCGTCAGCTTCCTCTTCTTCTTTTGTTCATCCATGGCTACCAACAAGTTTGCAACAATGTTACACAGGAACACCAACAAACCAACCCTGGTTCTTGTCTACGCTTTCCTTGAATGGGTTCTCATCGTTCTGCTTCTTCTGAACTCTCTTTTCTCTTACTTAATCTTAAAATTCGCTGATTACTTTGGCCTCAAAAGGCCTTGTATATGTTGTTCTAGGATCGAGCACATCGTCGAGCCCAAAAAGTATGCGAACAAGTCTTGCTTCAGAGATCTTGTTTGTGAATCTCATGCCTCTGAGATTTCCAAACTCGGGTACTGCTATAATCATCGCAAACTCGCTGAATCCGAGGATATGTGTGAGGATTGCTCCTCTTCTTCTTCATCATCCGAATTAGATTATGTTAAAATTTCAAAGAGCTTTGGTTTCTTTCCATGGATGGAGCAGAAGATAGTTATGGTTCAGGACACTGATGGTAGCAAGGCTTTGAAGTGTTCTTGCTGTGGGGTCCACTTAGAAAGCAGATTACGCCCTCCTGGTTTTGCGGTCGAGCCGTTGGATCATCCCCGGATGCAGAATCTGATTACACAAGGTGGAATTGAAGTTGATGCAGAGATTGATGAAGGTTATCGCAGCAGATCGGATTCTGCATGTGATCATTATGAAGACGAAGATCAAAAGGCTAAAGAAACCATGGAAGTTCACAAGGTGTCCAATGTTGATCAACCTTGTGAGCAAAAAACTGGGGAAATTCCACCCCAGCATCTTGAGTTCTTCGTCCATGGCGATAATTGTAGCTTGGTTCCGTTCGAACTGATTGATTCTTCCGCCGCCGCTGCCACAGAGACAGATAGCCGACGTCGTCACAAGGTGGCAGAGGGTCAAGAATCAGAGGATCGGAATGAAGATGTTATTTTGGATTTTGATATGCTTTCTGGTGGTGTGGAAACCGAACCAGTTTTCGAGAATTGGCACACGTCGGGAGATAGTGTGATAAGTTTTTCCTGTCCCAAGAGAAAACCGAAACCACTGTCAGTATCAGTATCGCTAGTTGAAGCAAATTTGGAGCAGAATTTTGGTCCATCAATTAAAGAAAAACCTAGGAATCACAATCTTGAAGCTCTTGTGGAAAGCAGAGAAGGTTGTGCTAATTTTCTCTGACAATAATTTTACTCATCAGTTATTGAGTTCTCTTCCAATGCATAGTTCTAAACTTCTAAAAAATTTCTGTACTTGCAGCCTCAGAAGAAGTGACAGAAATGCAGGGAGATGAATTTGAAACAGAAGTGTCCATTGGAACGGAAATTCCTGATCATGAACAAGTGGATGAGTATCAAATTCATGATATTCCTCCGGAGGACTCAAATCAACACATGCAAGAAGATTCATCTGCTAGCGCAGTCAGGTTTCGTGTCCAAGATGAAAGTGGTTAGTATATATCTTCTCCTAGAACTTCATCTGCTGTCATCTTCTTTCATTTGTCGTATAGAGATAACATATGGCAAAGTTTGATGTGATGTTTCTAAAATGATAAGGTGGAAAGGGATTGTTTACTCTTTTTTCGTTTTTAATCTTTCCCCCATAAACTTTCAAGAATCTCAGCCCGCATTTTTTATTAAGTTTCTTCTTTTCATTCTGAAATGTAAACAACTAGGTGGTGATAAAGATGAGGAGTTTGTAGAATTTCAAACCATGTCAGTTGAGACAAGCATGCCAAAAGTACTAAGGAACCATTTGGAATCATCTTTGGAGTTCAATGAGAATGAAGCGGAGAAAATTCCTGATACTCCCGCTTCTGTAGAGAGGAGAGAATCAGGAACAGAAGAATCCTTGGATGGAAGCAGCACCATAAGCGATATAGAACCCGGCGAGCTCACCATTGAGAAGCTAAAATCAGCATTGAAAGCTGAAAGGAAGGCCTTGAGTAGTGCATATGCAGAACTAGAAGAAGAGAGAAGTGCGTCTGCTGTAGCAGCGAATCAGACATTGGCAATGATAAATAGGCTTCAGGAAGAGAAAGCAGCTATGCAGATGGAAGCTCTTCAGTACCAAAGAATGATGGAAGAACAATCCGAGTATGATCAGGAGGCATTGCAGCTTCTGAATGATCTAATGGTTAGAAGGGAGAAGGAGAAGCAAGATCTAGAAAGAGAGCTCGAAACATACAGAAAGAAGTTTCAGGAATTGGAGGTTAAAGAAAAATCAACAATGTCAAGAAGAGATGTAACTAACTCAAACTCATCAGTTTCTTGCAGCAATGAGGAAGATAGTGATGGTCTATCTGTAGATTTGAATCAAGAAGCAAAGGAAGAGAATGGATTCTATGGCGAACAGAACACGAATACGCCTGTAGATGCTGTCCTCTACTTGGAGGAATCTCTAGCAAACTTTGAGGAAGAGAGGTTGTCAATTCTAGAACAGCTCAAGGTGCTGGAAAGAAAGCTTGTCAAGCTGAATCATGAAGAAGATGTTTGTCATGAGAATGGAAATGGATACTATAACCATGTGAATGGATTTGCAAATGGTCATTCCTACATCAATGGTGGGAGGAAAATCATGGGTCAAAAAGGCAAGAGGCTTCTTCCAATTTTTGATGCAATAGGAAAAGAAGAGAATGGGACGGATTTCAATTTGAACTCAGTGGAAAATATTTCAATGGAAGAGGCTGATTTAGAGGAAGAATTGGATGATGTTTATGAGAGATTACAGGCACTAGAGGCTGATAGAGAGTTTCTAAAGCACTGTATCAGTTCCGTGAGGAAAGGGGACAAAGGCTTAGACCTTCTTCAAGAGATTTTGCAGTACCTTCATGATCTGAGGAATGTGGATCTCAGACTTAAGAACATGAGCGATCTTGCTGTATAACTAGTTCTTGCTCATTTTTGCTACAAGGATAATAGGTGAGGTTCTGTGCTCAACTATGTTTTCCTTTTTTCTTTATTGCTCATCTGGGACAGCATTTTGTTGATTTGGAAATTTGTTGTGAAGTGCATACAGGCATAGTAATGTTGATGATGATCCACAAGTTCAACTGAAGAAGTACATGAATACATGGGCCAGCTAGATAAGGGAAAGTATTAATCATATGGCTTCTAAACTTTTGAACAAAAATGTCAAAGGAGGTTCCCTGGTGGGAAGGGGAAGGATCCTGCATGGTCTAGTGTTGATGACAGTGGTGGACAACAAAATCAAGTCTGCCTTTGATCTTTTTGGGTCTTGGGTAACATGTAATAAGCCCAAAATTTTGGTGGTTTGCGTCCATCATCATCACCTTCTTGGGAGTGAAGGACGATGATGATTGTGCATGTGTGTGTGTAGGGTAGAATGTATAGATTTTATACATCATGTTAATTATTAGTTTAATTTTATTGGAAAGGATAGTAAGAGTATATTTTAATATATGTTGTTTGTGATCCTATCATATTATCTACTTCATCAAGCCCTAATTCCTTCTTATATTATATACTACCCTAATTCTTAATATAAAAGCTAGTTTGCCTTTTAATATGGTTCTAGATATGAGACTTCAGTTCACTTTGTTTTCAATATTTATCAATTTTTTTCTCAAGTAATCCCTATACTAATTGTATATACTAGTACTAAGAAGTTACTATAAATTTGTAATTTAAACACACATAATTAATAAGAATATTTTAGGAAAGATAATATCTATTTATTACAAATAACTAACTTTCTTAATCTTTTTAAATTAATCAATTAGGTCTTATATTAAGGATCGGGATATTATTACTTAACTGTTTCTTGTAATATTTCATTTTATCAAGCTATTTTTTTTTTAATCTATATGCATTAAAGATGATCATTAAATGGAAAGGATAATTTTAAAAAAGTATCACAAATTATCTACATATTAATTACAAGTAAGTGAATAACCATCTTAATTACTTTTGTGATTCTACTCCTCCGGTCCTTAATATAGGACCCAATTATTAAGTTAGTTTTAGTCCTAAATATAAGAGTCATTTCTCATGTTTATCAATTTTCTCTAAATTACCCCTATAGATACTCTCTCAACCATAATCAAATAAAAAGAGGAAGAGGAGGTATTAAGAAAGATGATTATAGTATTTTAGGAAAAACGTATCACATTTCTTATAATTAACTAATTTACCTAACTTACCTAACTTCCTTAATCTAATCAAATTAGTCAAATGGATATTATATTAAGGACCAGAGGAGTATAAAATAATTAATTATATTTAATATTGCAACTGTAAACTTGTTATATTTAATACTTAAGTTGTTATTTTTAATAGTAAAGTTATTATTATTAGGAGGGTGTTGTTGACTTTCCACTCACATTATATAATTCCCATTATTGAGGTTTGAGCCTTATGTTCTAGAGTCTTTTATTGTTATTTCCCTTTAATTCAAATCTAATATTAGTATGATTGTGTGCATGCGTTTAAATTATATTAAATATATGTGAAAAAATTATATTAAATATAAAAAAACAGAGATTTTGAGGAAATGTTCATCATGAGAATCCTAAGTTAAAAATTATTTGCACTTTAAAAAAATCGAAGAGTCAATTTGAAATCAATTTGATATTTTTTGGCCAAATGAAATCAATTTAGATTAACGTAAGATGAATGGAAAATTGAATATAGTTAACACCCTACTGAAGGGGATTTGATCATTGTTCTTAACATTACTAGGGAAATTAGTTTCCACTATCCATGAAATGCATTCTTTTGTGGCTTATAAAAAATTAAAGATATTTTAAAAAAAATTAACGCAATAAAAATATGAATGAATTTATATATATATAGAAATTAAAACAAAGTAATATGGCCTTTTTAACCAATGTTTCCGAAGAAAAGTTTCAACCATCTCTGATCTAGCGTTTCGCATTGGAAACTTGCAAATAATTTTTTATGCAATAAATGGGCCAGATTTAATAACCAATGATCTGCTTTCATTCAACGCGATGGCAGTAGACTTGACCCTTTCTTAAAAGTCAACGAAACATTATTATATCGCGTTCAAAATATAAGCATCAATTTTTTTTAAATGGCCTAATTTACCACGTTTTCTTAATTTTCATCTCCGGTCAATTATGCGCCTATTTGGATCTCCGTTTTGGGAGGCCAAGGATAGGCCATTTGAAGATAAGCTAGTGTTTGGCATACTCTTCAAAATGGACTTCTGGATTTGATGGCGTGTTGCATCTAAAGTTGAATTTTGGAGCTTTGGAAAGAAAAGCTTCAAATACATTAGACGCCTAAAAAAGTAATTTAAGGTGTTTGATGTACTCAAAGATAATTTAGAACGTTAGTTACATCTAAATGTTTAAAATATAATTTACTTTTATACTTTAAGTAGATTAAATATATCTAATTAAGTGTTTTTTGAGTTTTATTTTTATACTTTTAATTTTAATATTTCTTTTAAATTTATCAAACTATATCAATTATATATATAATAAAAATCACGCCCTTTCTAGTTATTTTATATCTAAATATACTTTTTTATTACTCATCCAAAAAATATTTAGTTTGGTAAACTATTTTTTTTATAAAGCAAATTTAAACATAAATCATATTACACTAACTGACTTTTATCTTAACTTACGTTTGTAAAATTCAGATAGAATAAAAATTAGTTATACCAACACTAATCCAAACACACTCCATATGTTTCTCTTGTATCTTTATCTGCTCATTCCCTTTCATCTCTTTTTTTACCCACTCTCCCTACCCACTCACCGTTTACATAATTATTATGTTTAACCAATTTTAATTAACTTTTCGAATTGTGTGAGTTTGTTATTTAAAGCTTATATTTTGAAGTAGAGCAAGCATGGTAGAGATTTACTCATTCTAGTATTTAATATATGAACTCTTTTAGAATAAAATTATGGTTCAAAATATAAGTTGTCAAAATAATTAATAATATTTTTTTACTTTTACCATTATTAATTAAAAGAGAGAGTTTTAAATATAGAAAACAGGAGAGAGATAATTAAAAGTATATGTAAAAATATTTTTTTGGCCAACGTGTATTTAAAAAAATATACTTTATTACTTTTCAATCACATGTGTTAAGGATAAAATAGAAAAATTTTATTATTTTAAGACGTGTTTAATAATTTAACTATTATATTGCTTAGTTTGTGAGACTTAACCAAACTTCTTATATCATGGATGGATGAAAGAGTATAATAAGCAATGAAATTACTCCTCCGGTCCTTATTATAAGACCCCATTTGACTTTTTATTTAGTCCTAATTATAAGACCCCAATCCATTTTGTCTCTTATATTTATGCATTTTTTCCAAGATAATCCTTCTAATAATGATAGTTTTAGCCAATATACTCAATTAGCAAGGATATTTTAGAAATGATAACACTTATTTATTATAAATAACCAACTTAACTTACTTCCTTAATCTCCTCAAATAAGTCAATTGGGTCTTATAATTAGGACCGGAGGAGTATTTTGCTTTCGTTAATGCATTCAATTTGCGGTAGTAATTATGCATGAGAAATTGTACTCCCTTCCATCATCCGTTTAATTAATTCATAGCATTAAAAAAAATAGTTCAAACAATAAATTTGTGTTTGTTGTAAGGATTGGGCTGTGTGTCATAACCTGATTTTTTAGTAACTGCAATATATTTGCTTAACAATTAGCTAGGTAGGGATTATATGGTGCGGATTATTGGTCCTATGGTCAAATTCAAACTTACCTAAGGCAGGTGGATAATAATAAAAAATAATTGACTTTTCTCTTTGTGTTCATTCAAAAAATTATGAATATTTTATTCCCCAGTGAAAAGTATGCCTATCTGACAATTTGCTTAATTCAATGGAAAAGAAAAAAGTTTATGAAGCTGATGAGGTTCACCCTTCCGGCCAGGCAAACTGGTGCTCTTATTTGGAGCCACTTGGGCAAATATGAACTTGGCATTTTCATTTCAGTGTCCGTGGGTCCACGGCAGCTGCTGTAACATCCATGAGATCAGAAGACCCCCCCCTTTTGACAAAATACTAACTTCAATCATAGGTATAAAAATTAGCTGATTAATTTGAAAAGATTAAAAAAATAAATTAATTATTTGTAATAAATAGATATTGTCTTTTCTAAAATATCTTTCATAATCAAGTATATCAATTGGAATTACTATTATTAAATAAAATTACCACTATTAAAAGGACTATCTTAAAAATATATATAAATATAATAAACAAAATAAATTGAGATTTTATATTTATAATCAAAATAAATATCAAACGGTGTCTCTGAAAGTAGTAGTCAATTACACATAACCTAATCAGCTCGTTGATCACACAGGATCCATTTGGGTCATAGAAGTGCTTAAAAGTAGCATATTAGTCACATGAAAATTAACTCCAAGATTCACAAATGTATATTCCTAAGTGCGATGACATTTTCAGGTATCGAACCCGCGATAGTATCCAATCTCCTAACTGCTGAACCCACGGACATGTTGTAAAAGGATAGCCTTACCTCGATCATTCCCGACCCAAAATTGTACTCCTTCTGTTTTTTATTATAAGAGACAAATAACCAACTTATGTTGATAAAAAAAACAGTTAAAATTAATTGAGGACAATTAATATGTAAAAAGTATCATGTTTTTTTCAATAATACCCCCATTAATAAAAAGAGAGAGTATGATAGAGAACAATTAAATTATTAAAAGAAAGAGAAGTGGGAGGGAGAGGGAGTATGAGTTGGAGACAAAATAAATAGGGATAAAATAGGAAATCAATACAAAAAAATAGAGACAACTTTTAAGTGTCTCTTATATTTGGGAACATGCCATAAGCATCAAATGTCTCTTATAATAAAGAACAGAAGGAGTATTTTTTTCCCGGAAAAAATTGAAATTTCTCAACACTATATTCTCTAAGAATTAGTATTCATTTGTATAAAATGCCACAGAGCGACTTTTTTTATTAATCAAATGGAGTTTTAAATGCATACTTGTTGCCATGGCAAAGCCAAAAGTCTAATGTAAACTATAAAATTTTTTGAATCATGCAGTTAGTTAATACTCATGCATAATATGATTTTTCTTTAAATTTCATGTAATTTTTAATTTTCATTAATAGACTTGTATAATTTTTTACCACCCCTCCAACCTTCACATAGGATCTAATTGTTGAGTTAATTTTGATCATAAATATAACACCTAGTTATCATACTTATTAATTTTTTCTAAATTATCCATATTGATACCGTTCGACAATAATCAAGTAGGAGAGGAAGGAAGAATATTAAGAATGATACTTATAGTGTTTTAGAAAAAACATGTGATATTTTTTATAATTAATTAACTTATCTAATTTTTTTAATCCAATTAAATTAGTTAAATATATCTTAGGTTAAGATCGGAATATAAGTATTTTATTAGGCTTTGTATAATCTTTTAGTTTTTGTAGCACTATTTTGTTTTTTTTTTTTTACCTATTTTAACAGAATTTTGAATATTACATTTAAGTTATCTTCAATTTAGAATTGATTACCACGAGCCAAGACAAGTCAAGCAAGCGTCACAACGCCAACAACACGCTTGGGATTTCGTTTTCAATTTGATGAAGGGCCAACTCGTCTCTGATTTCACATTTAGGGTCAGCCGGTCAGGTTATTGTGATTTCTGTACGGAAGTAACCCAACATTCAATCCTTTTCTTTTTCTTCTTGTCCTCCATCTCAAGTCATCGCTTCCTCATTTTTCCCAGAAACCAGTTCTGGTTGAGCCGCACGAACATCAAATATCTCCTTGAACTGATCCTCTGTTTCCGCTTCATGGGCTAGTTTTCTCAGGCATCGTGCGAAAAGACAGACTATGATCAAATCCAAAAGCTTTCTTCAAAGTATTATGAAACATCTCAAATTCGGTTCAAGGAAAGGTAAAGAGCAAAACCCAGTTCCCGTTCTTTCTTTATTTTCTTTTCTGTTAGTCTCAGTCTATTTTCTGGGCGATGACAGAGAGACAGAACGAAGACGACATTCAGAGGATTGCCGCCAAGGAGCAGAAGGTGTTTTCCTACGAAACGTTAGTTTCGGCAACGAAGAATTTCAATCCTAATCACAAGCTGGGCGAGGGAGGATTCGGACCAGTTTACAAGGCAAGATCTATGAGAAATTTTACTAGTTATTGTGTTTGGTTGCGGGGAAAAGTTGCAGAGGGAGGAAAATTGAGCTGGGAACAGTTCATTCATTCTTCATCTTGCAATGTCTGAGAAAAAGCATTCAATTGGTTTAAGTTCGGGTAATTCTAAAACCAATTAACTGCAACTAAAAATCGTTTCGAGATTCTCGCTTAAATTTTTCCATTTACAAGTTGAGAATCTCGAAACAGATTATTCAAATCAAGCTTTGAGCCTTTTTTCTAAGGTTTGACTAATTGTAAGATCCTCATTGGGATTGTAAACCCCAAAATGTCATGTTTACACGAATCAATTCTTTGCTACAGTATTCTGAAATGAGGGGTATTTGAAATTGGAACAGGGGAAGCTCGAAGATGGAAGAGAGATCGCAGTGAAGAAGCTATCAGTGAGATCGAATCAGGGGAAGAAGGAGTTCGTAAACGAGGCGAAATTGTTGGCGCGTGTGCAGCACCGCAATGTTGTGAATCTGTTGGGCTATTGTGTATTTGGCTCCGAGAAGCTTCTCGTGTATGAATATGTTCCTCATGAGAGCCTTGACAAAATTCTCTTCAGTAAGTCTTCCTTCTTCTTCTTCTTCTGTTCATTCTGTTTCTGTTTGGATCAACTTAAAATTAGTATTTCCGTGTTTTACAAGAAAAAACTCCTCTCGTATATTTATTTTCGCACCGTTAAAAAAATTTTTTTTTTTAAGTTATCTTATTCACCTCAAGCCTTTGTTTGAGTTTGGATTTTAGGGCCTGTTTGGGTATCTCAAAACCGTGGTTTCAGAAGCACTTTTCCGTAAAACGAGATAATCTCCTCCACATATTTACTTCGTAATCTGTAAAAACACTTCTGAAACCATAGTTTGGTTTCTATCCAAACACATTCTTAATTGAAAAGTAGGGTTGTTTTTTTCTCCTTTTACTTGAAGCTGCATTGCAATTGGTACATTAAAGAAAAAATTGACGTCAGTAAAATTATTTTACTAAGCCCACTGTGAGAATAAGTACAATTTGAAAAGGCAGAAGACTCCAAGTTTGAATGTGGAGCTTCCGTGTGGGGCTCTGCTGTTCACAATGAGGCCACTTTTTCTTCTTTTTATATTGATGGAGTGATGATTCATCTGTAGACCCGAAAAAGATAAGATATTTATATTTCCTGAATGTTATGAATCTTTTTTATTCCAATTTCCTTTCTTCTTTGCCAACCATTCCAATTTCCAACTCCGGCATTAGTTAATATATTTACGTCACCAACTATGGAGACTCCAGAAATCTGCACATAATTATTTTTTTTGGTAGCTCATCCTCGGAAGGTGACTGCACTTTAGACCTTGACTTTTCCTCCAAAAATTAATGCCATGCGTTGCATCTTACTATTTCTTTTTTTCATCTCCTGATTCAAACGCGTCTTTTGACCCATCTTAGCGAAGCTATGACGTCGCCTTTTATATTACAACAAAACTCTCCACCAACTTCCCCCCTTTTTCAAGTAACCAAAAGCGCACACACATATATATGTATCACAAACACTGCATAAAAAATTGCGAAATGTACAAGTAATTAGCTAGTTAATCTTTGTAGAATGGAGCGTGATTAGTATATGTAAATGAATGGATACAGGATCAGATAGGAGAAAAGAGCTTGACTGGCAAAAGAGGTTTGCAATAATAGCAGGAATAGCTAGAGGATTGCTTTATCTTCACGAAGATGCACACGACTGTATAATTCACAGAGACATAAAAGCTAGCAATATTCTGCTCGATGGTAAATGGAATCCCAAGATCGCAGATTTCGGCATGGCTCGTCTCTTCCCTGAAGATGAAACCCATGTTAAAACCCGTGCAGCTGGAACCAAGTATGCATGCTTTTCAACTCTTTCACCTACCTTATCACCTGTGATACACTTTATTATTGGGAGAATTACAATTAGGTTCCACTTAAAAGAATTAAATATAAAAAGTTTTTTTGAAATCATGAAATTATTCTGAAGTCTCGAGAGACTTTTTTGGAATAAATTTTATTTGTTTAATTGTTAAATTACCTTTTTTTTTCAAGTTACAACTGAAAGAGCAAGTGCGTTGTTAAGCCAGCCGCGATAGTTGTCAATCCTTGCACCCTAAGTTGTCAACCACTGCTCTTTCAATTGTCAATGCAAACTTTTTTATAAAAAAAAGAAAGTAATTTGGTAATTAAACAAATAAAATTTATTACAAAAAAGTTTCTTGGGATTTCAAAATAATTTCATGATTTTAAGAGATCTTTTTGTATTTAATTTTCTTGGGTGGGACCTAATTGCAATTTTCCCTTTTATTATTTACTTGCCATTTCTGATAAGAGAATCTAAACCCAACGCGTATTGAAATAGAAATGAATACTGAGAATTAATCCATGTTTTAAAACTTGTTTGAGGTCTTTTTATTTTTCAATTAATTTTAAAATGTAGCCTAAGATATAACTGTGTCCGCATATATATGTTACTTTTTGGACGAATTTCTTCGTATATTTTATTGTATTTTTTTTTATGCATTAATCTTTTTATTAATTTTTTATTTCAATTTTATTATTTTTATTTAATTATTCTAAAATTATAAATAGAATATTATTATTTTTGAGGGTTTGTTTTTACAAAGAAAACTCTGTGTAACCAAATCTATCCATTCAACAGTGGATATATGGCTCCAGAATACATGATGTACGGGAATTTATCAACAAAAGCAGACGTATTTAGTTTTGGAGTTCTGATATTGGAGATCATTAGTGGTCAACGAAACCTATCATTTAACTTGGATCTGGATTCACAGAACCTTGTCGACTGGGTAAGATTTTAATCCGTTCTTAGTTCATCAACAAGTTAAGTACGCTTAGATAGGATACAACCTAAGAGTACATTTATATTTCCATCACATCAATAAATTATTTATTTTAGCATGACTGAAATCCTTTGTGTTGAATTTTGTTTTTGGCTATCATAGGTATACAAGCTTTACAAAAAAGGACGAAGCTTAGAAATTATGGACACTGCAATAGCAGCTTCAGCAGTGCCTGAACAAGTGGCAATGTGTATTCAACTAGGCTTGCTATGTATTCAAGGTGACCCCAAAGACCGGCCTCCCATGAACCGGGTCATGGTGGTGTTGTCGAAAAAGCCGGGCCACTTGGAAGAACCGAAGAGACCCGGTGTGCCGGGTTCAAGATACCGAAAGCATCATAATCCTTATGCATTGTCTTCCACAATGGGTAGTAGTTCTGGTGGATTTGGTTCACATTCTGGTGTTTCGAGCAATCCTTACAATACAAGGTCAACGGCAACGGCGACCACAGCCGCCACAGCCGCAACCACAACCACCTCTACTTCTAGAGAATTAGACCCTCGTGGAAAACGTGTAATTGAGGAGGGTTAGGCTCGTATTCTCTTGTTACTTGCTCATTCATTTTGTAGAAAGCTATGTAAATGTTAGATTTCTTTTCTTTTTTTTTCCCCCTCACCCTTAGGCCATCGAGAATGGATGGTGAGAATTGAGCTCAATGGCTGTCAATTTTGTTTGTTTTCCCTTGCAAGAATCAACCATTGAATCCATTTTTTGTAGTACACGAACAATGGAGAAAATTTACAGGTCAGGTCTTAATGGGATTCATGCATATACAACTTGGATGATATTTTTGGGTCATATTCATACTTGAAACTATCATGCTTCTTGTAGTCCCTAAGATTTTGCCCCCTTTAGCATCTTTCAATGGCAGGAAAAGCACATCCCAATCTCTTCCATTTTCATTTCATACCCTGGGAGTGTTTAAGTGATTAAAAAAGTGTTTTTAAAAAATGTTTTTCTGCAAATCAAGATAAATTCTTTCGTACAGTATATTTATTTCATATACTGTCAAATTATTTTTAAAACTATGATTTAGTATTAATGTAAAATAAAAAATATGAGGAGTATTCAAATATGATCTCCCAAGTTTATAACTGTCCCCAAATTACCAAGTGGGGACTGGATTCCCATCCACGTGTGGATGCAAATATGGCCCACAATTGGACCAATTTAACGTGTCTGGGACAAGGAGGTCAAAGGCAGGTCATCTCTAGTTGCTCTCTTGCCTACAAAATCAATAGCTTGATTGCTTTATACCCCATGAGTATATTTGAGCTTAACCTGCCAATTACCTTCAATCAGACTCTATTACTAGGACTGCTTATGTAACATACATTATTATTTTGAAAAAAAACACAGCTTTTCCACCGAATTCGGTGGAAAAGCTGGGACATTGAATTGGGAAGAAAGAATTTTGAGGGAGGAGTAGCAAATGAAGAAGGAAAAAAGGGGATGGATAGTTGGAAGTTGAAGGAAGATAAAATAAAAGAGCGGGGAGGAGGTAGAAAAGAAAAACAAGAGTGAGAAGAGAAAGAGACGGCAAGAGGAAGAGAGGAAAATGAAGAGGGAGTAAAAGAACTTACTGTCTGAAGGATAAGATAAAATTTAGAGATCATTTAGATACACAAATATACATCTTTTTATCAAATTTTTTTATGAGTATTTACTATATATTTAGAGCTTTATATTATTAGTTTCATTATAATGTTTAGAGGAAATTTTACTGTTTGGGTATGGAGTAAGTATTGAATTTTGACAATATATGACAATAGAAATTTAAAGATTTATTATTAAGAAATTTTAATCAGTTTATATTTGTTTAATGATCATTTTGATAATTTTTAATTAAGATTTTAGTTGAAAAATTTATTATTCAAGACATATAAATATTTTTACTGATTAAATTTTAGTTAAATAATTTATTTGGATTATTTAATATATTATTGAGATTTTAATCGATTTGAATATTGAATAAGTTAAAGATCTATTGTTGAAATAATTTTTGAAAACTTGAAGAATTGTAAATTGAGAATTTTATAAAAAGAAAAATGTATTTATACTTCAAAGGAGTTGTTTGGCTGAGAAATTTTTTTAAATAAGACTATAATAAATAATTGAGATTTTAATATAAAATTTTATATTTTAGGAAATAATTATATATTTACTTAAGTTATTAAATTTAAATAGTCTTATATATAAATTATATTTTAAAAATAATATTATATCTATTATAAATAGTCAGATTTGTGAGAGTTAATATATTTTTGTAATTTTAGTTTAAAGGGTAGTCTTATAATTTTGGAGTAGTTTTGAGTTTTATATTAATAAATATTTATGTGTGATTTTCTAGACTCTTAAAAATTTTGGAGTAATCTTTGTGTGAATATTTGTAAGCTAAAGAGTACTAGGTAACTTTGAAAATTCTTTCATGTACATGTGAATTGTGTATGATTATATTATGGATTTACTAATTTTTATTATACCATATTGAAATATATGTATATATTATGACTTTTCAAATTAATGTTTTAATATACTACTTTATTTTGTTAAGATTTATTGCTATTAATTATGATCTATATTTAAATATATTGATAGTTATTGAATTATGATAAGTTGCTGTAAAATTACATAAATTTTATTACTCTCTTATTTTTAATAATATATTTGAGGATGTAATTCTGATGTAACATTATTTACATATGACGTTTGCGTTGTTGGGTTAAAGATAGAAGGAGATTTGCATGGATATAAAATTATCATGTGGTATGTCGTCACTCGATACATAATGGATGACACTTGTCAGGGTCCCTTCTTTCATGTTTTTCTTTGGCTAGGAGTTCATTGGAACAGTGGGATATGTGACACCTCCTTATTTTATTTGCAAAGGAGGAGAATCATAGTCTGAACTTGAGCTTTATATTTTTGGTTGGATATATCTCTAGTATTGGTGAGCTCAGAATAATTCAGTAAAATAGATTAATTCCTATTAGATTATGTGTTAGCTTATGGTTCCAGTCAGCAGTGTAAGAGTGGATAGTGATATAAGGGAGGCTTCATATTGCATTATTTTTGGATATATTGGACAAATGATGTTGGTATATTGTTGAATCAAAAATGAAATTGAGTTGAATGTATAAAATCCGTGATTTTCATACATAAATATATATACACATATAAACAGATTTGTGTTTATCATATATGGTTTGCTTGTATATGTTAGAATTTCGTAAGTTACTGGGACGTTTGATCTCATCCCTCGTATTAACTTTTTCAAATGAAGAATCTAGTAGGAATCAAGGGAAAGCACTGATGGAATAAGCCGTGAAGGCTTCTATGCTCTTTAAGTACATGCTATGTTATATTTTTATTTGCCATAACTATAAGACTTTAGTAGTTTATTTTGTTATGTTAAAAAAATATTTTGAAATTATGACCTATGTGGAATGCGAGAAATACGTATAGACTTTTAAATAAAGTATTTTATTGTGTATGTGAATATAATTATGTGAGATGTTACAACTTAACCTGCTAATTACCTTCAATTAGACTCTATTACTATGACTAGGCTCTAAGAGGATTCCTTGTAGCAGCACTACATGCATGCATCATATCCTACTATTATGTAATTTTTAGTCTTTAATATAAGAGTTAATTAAGTATCTCTCCATAACATTATATTATATATTAATTTACAAGTTGAATAAATTAGTTTAAAGAAAAATAAATATAAGAAATAAAAATAATTCTAAATCTTATATTTAGAAACAAATTAAAAAATAACTCGTGTATTAGAAAGTGAAGGAGTACATACGTACTCCTCTATAGTTCTCCCTACGTCAACTCAAAATTAAATAAAATAGTTCTCCCTACTCGCATCCACAAATAAAATAAAATTAAAGATGGATAAATGACAAGGATTGTTCACCACCGCAACCTGCCACAAGGTGTTGTCGTGTTAATTACAAAGACGTAAAAAATAAGCCGGTTAGTTGATCCGAAAAGGAAAGCATGCAAGACGCTTGCTTTAATAGCCTTGTATGGCAATATGCAAGGGCCATTGTGGCCGACTTCATGTGCGTTTGTTTGTTTTGAAGAGGAAATTATTCAAGTCCTTCAGATAAATTATGCAATTCTAAAACACAGATAATATTAATAATAATTGATAAATTCATATAGGATATGAGAGAAAGAGGGATTACATGCATCTAGCTTTATAGCATACTTTTTTTTTTTTGGAAAAAAAAATTTCGTTCCACTTATAATTAAAGGCTATTGGTAATATTATGCCCAAAATACCAGTTGCCGAAAAATACACTAATAATCTAGGTTATGAAATGGGATAGTCAAAGGTGGGATATGATTCCACTACTTTTGGTTTATAAATGTTAAAGTTATGTTATTATTAGGCCACTAAAGCCAAAAACGTAGATGGAATGACTACTTCACTTTAAGGATTAACAACGTAATATATATGTGTGTGTGAAATCACAACACCACATTAATCAATGACAACTATTCCTCCGTTCCTTAATATAAGACCTAATTGTTGAGTTGGTTTTGGTTCTAAATATAAGACCCATTTCTCATATTTATCATTTTTCTCTAAATTACCCCTATGGATATTCCCTCAACCATAATCAAGTAGAAGAGGGAGAGAGGGTATTAAAAAAGATAATTATAATATTTTAGGAAAAATGTGTCACTTTTCTTATAATTAACTAACTTACCTAACTTCTTTAATCTAATCAAATTAATTAAATATGTCTTATATTAAAGACCGGAGGAGTATGACAATATCGCGAAAGAACAGAGAGGCGCTAGGAAGGATTAAACCTTTGTGGGTGGGAATATTACCAAACGAGAAGGGATGGGCCACCAGCCACATGCAAGTGCACGCCTTGCTGGGCCAAAATCGCATCACTTAAAGTAATCCAATTAGGCTTCTCAAATAATACTACTTCTGAATCTTAATATAAGATCTCATTTGATTTTTATTTTGATTTTAAATATAAAATCTCAATCCATTTTATCTTTTATATTTATATTTTTTTTGAGGTAATCCTTTTAACAATAGTAGTTATAGCTAATATACTTGATTAGCAAAGATATTTTAAGAAAGACAACACTTATTTATTATAAATAATTCACTTAACTTATTTTCTTAATCTCTTCAAATTAGTCAACTAGTTCTTATAATTAGTACCAGAAGTAGTACTCTTTAGGAATTAAGAGGATTTTTTTATATGGATACCCAATATGTTTTATAATATAAAATATTTTATTTAATATCACTATCTAATTATAAAGTTTCTTAATTAATTAGTCAATTTCTTTAACTAATAATTTTTATTGAAGCTAATCTTAACATGCTACAAAATATTACAAATGTTAACTAATTTTTTTTAAAATTTGTATAAAATTGTTATTATTTGTTCATAATGAGCATAGAAGAAAATATTTGTTTTAAAAGTAAAATTATAACCATTTTCTTTTACCTATTTTTTTTTATGTTTAATATTCTATATTATAAATATGACATAAATATGTGCCTATGTGGTGTCACTTTGATCTCTTAGTAAGTGGGTTTGGTAAAAAGATTGATTTTTTTACAAAAAGATCACGCAGTACTATAATAAAATTTATTTTTTCCACTTTTCGTTCCCTCTATTTTTGACATATTATTTCTTTATAATTAGGGAAACTTTTTTTTATTTATTTGTTTATTTTTAATATCAAAAGAATTTACTCAAAATAAGAAACGACGATGTTGCCCCCAAAAGCA